CTTTGGAATGGGTTACTAAGACAGCTTTGTTTTTCTAATAGAATGGCTGTTATTTGGAATGGGTTGCTAAGACAGCTTAGTTCTTCTAACAGAATGGTTGGTTTTGGAATAGCTTGCTAAGATAGCTTTGTTTTCTAACAGAATGACTGGTCTTTGGAATGGGTTACTAAGACAGCTTTGTTTTTCTAATAGAATGGCTGTTCTTTGGATTGGGTTGCTAAGACAGCTTAGTTCTTCTAACAGAATGGTTGGTCTTTTGAATAGTTTGCTAAGATAGTTTTGTTTTTCTAACAGAATGGTTGGTCTTTGGAATAGCTTGCTAAGATAGTTTTGTTTTTCTAACAGAATGGTTGGTCTTTGGAATGGGTTGCCTTCAGATGTAATGGATGCATTCAATCTAAGGAAGTTTAAGGGAAGGCTTCATAATCATTTGAATGATAAAGGATTGCTCATATATTTGTTTAAAAAGTTTAGTTTAAAGGATGGGACGGCCTAAATGGAACAAGGTTACTTAAATTATATGTATATGTGTATATATATACCATTACGATTATTCTTATCATTATTTATTTATTTCAGTCATGAAGCTCTTGGAAAATTCGCGAAAATATCAAAGGTTCTTTAGCAAAGAAAAGGTATCGATGAGCGTCGCTTCATCAGACACTAAAGAAGAAAAATATTTTAACACGTACATAATCATTACTGTGAAGCTATTTTTCGCAAGATCTGAAAATACTAAAGCCTTGAGTATTTTCCATGTACGTCAATACGTTTCATATGTATTTTTATTTTGTGAAAAGTTTGTAATACGTCAAGAGCATATTACTAAACAAAGCATCTTCTCTATGAGTAACAAAAGTTTGGCCTTTGATGATAAATTTGAATATCGCTAAAGGCTGGAGATAAGAATATGCATTTTGAACAACCTAACAGATATTTTAAGTTTCATATTAAAGATGTAAAAGTATATATCAAGATCAGTGTTTATTTGAAGCGAACATAATATGTAAGGTATAGAACATTTTAAACCAAGTGTAAGAAAATGACACTTTTAATCAGTGAAATATTAAAATTAAGGTTTTTTTACACATGGTGGCATGTAAATTTATATGTGGATAGTACTTGCTACTATGATTTTTTTACTTATAATATTTTTAATAGAAAACTAGGTTATCTTCTACTGTGTAGAAAGAAACACTCTTCAGTTTTCAATTACCCACTATTAAATGTTTCAAAAAAATCGCATCATTTAAATTCCTTAATAGTTTTTTATCTCCCAGTGGAATAGTGGCAAGTTTGCGGATTTGTAACGCTAAATATTGCGTTTTGATACACGTGGTGAGGAACAGTATAAATAGTTCATTATGTAGCTTTATGCTTAACAAGAATGAAACAAACGAACAAATGTGGGTTTTTAAAGTGAGTTTAAGCCCTCTATCACAAACAACTGTGTTAGAATCATATATTTGTATCTAAGACAGAGATGTTTTTCAGAAGAGAAAATATTTTCCATCCATGGCCTAACGTACAACATTCAAAATTAAGACTGAAAATCCGTCCCTACAATTAACATCCATTTCATTACTAATAACTTGGTTTAATTTCTCTAGCATTAATTAAGTGGATTTCAGTTAGGATCTTGATTATTATATATGTGTGTTTAATTTGATTATTTGTTAGTTGGAATTCAAGTACCTTAGATAAATTAATTCGGTGTCTCTAATTATTGTGTCTTCATGTAGTTAAACATTTGGAATTAAAAAGTAAAGAACTTTCAACAAAATTCATTTGCTTTTATTTCATTGTTGTGTTGCTCTTAGTTTTTTCTTGACAGACTAAGTGAATAATAATAAAATTTCATATTCTTCTTCTCAAATTAAACACATCTAAGTTGAAATTATAGGTTAGGGCTAATTCTAATTTTACTGTTAAATAATAAGAAATTTACTTTCTAAGACGCTAAAAAGTTATAATGCATTAGAGTGCACCTATTCTTCTATAAAGTTGAACTAGTAATAAATGTTCTAAGTGTTCTTATTTTATTTTGCAGTTTTGACTCTGGCTTAAACGATAGTATTGAAATTATCACTTGGATTATCCTGTTCGTGAGCACTTGATACTGCTGCCATCTCTCGTAAAAATATGATAAACACAGATGTGTTCTGGGCAGGAAGTACCATAGTATGATTGATTCCCTGTAAGTATGATGTTTACTTCATGGGCCTCCTTTACTTTGATGTTTTATTTACTGAAGATGATAATTCTGAAACTTGATTAGTACTTAATATAATTATGATCAAGTTTCTTGCTTGATCATATACTTAGTAAATATAATCACTTTTATAATCAGTTAGTAGCTAATATAAAACATGTTCCTCCTTTATCTTAAGTAAGTACTTATTTAAGACATTCTCTTTAAATGTGAGCAATTATCTAATAAAATGAATTTATTTTATATTGGTTTTTTGTTTAGATTTCATTATTTTTTACAGTTAATCTTTCATCCACATTTCAGTCTAAAAATGATCAATATTGAGTAGCAGTTGTGATGATATAACTAAACAACCCCATAGTTTTCATGGACACTTCTTTAGAAGTTTTTAGAAACTGTTTGATTTTAGTACATTCTTATATGAAAAAAAAGAACACAGAGTCATTGTAAAAGATACAGATCTGTTAAACAATAGAATTAGATTTTATATAATCTTGATAACGATTTTAAAAGGTCCTCTGTATAACAGAAAATCAATCAGGAAAATTGTAAAGTAGCTGTGTTAGCTAAGAAAATAAATAAATTAGACACGTGATGTTAAGTGACGATTTTTATAACATGCAACTCAGAAGACACAGTGTGTATACTTAAATAGAAACTGGAAAGCCAACTTATACAGAAATGGTAAATTAGTCAACAGCTTTCTTCTCTCGAGATATCTTTCTATTGACTTACTCAATGTGTGTCCGAATAGAATTGATGTGAATCCAACGATCTATACTAACAGAGAACGACGAAATTACCCAGAATGCCTCACTTTCCACGTAAGTGGTTGTCCTCCTACAACACCATTAAGGCTGTAACCTCTAGATATCATCTACTTGGCCAGTGATAGACATTGCTGCACTAACCCATTTCTATACAATGTGTAAAGTTGCAGCAGTATTCTCGCTGGCAAAGTGAATATTATCTTCTAGAGAACAACAAAGAAACAAAGGTAATTAAAACGAAACAGTTTATTGGATTACGTGTTCTGCTAATATAATTTTGAATATTGATATAGTTTGCCTCATGAGGAAGAAGTAAAATAATCAGTTAAATTCATCAATGTTTTGTGCCTGCTTGTAATTAAAGTTATAAATACTGCTTGCTTACCTATTAGTTATAACAAGTTTAAATAGAGTATCCTGGAGTTGTAAAACTAGAAATACATGGCAAGTACTGTTACACTTATATCTGATCAGATATGTACTGAGCAAAAATTAAGTCATAAAACGAGATTATAAAAGAACGTACACATTTCACTGTGTGTGTGTTTTCTGAAAAGTGATATTTGATAGTAATTTTGGAACATTGTTGATACAAAGATTTCTGACCAACTACTTACTGTCAAGAACTGCCACTGTTGTATAGAACCTTTTGTTAAGTAATAAATTGTTATATGTTTTATTGTTTTCGTTATTGTTAGTTATGGATTTTTCTCATTCTATGATAGAATAATACATGGGCTGTTTTTGGCTGTTACTCCAATCTCACTTAGTTTCAAGTAGAATAAATTTCGTTCAATCATAAAAGTAAATAGCTTATATTCTATTCTTCCTTTGTTTGTAATTAAGCACAATCCGACACAATGGGCTACCTGTGCTCTGCCAACCACGGGTATCGAAACCCGGTTTCTAGCGTTGTAAGCCCACAGTCATACCACTATGCAACTAGGAGGCTCTTCCTTTAACACTAGTTTTCATTGACAGTGTTAGTCAGAATGTTTACTATATAAAATAAAAACTTTTAGTATTTTTTCTTATATGTATTTAATATTTTCATCACGTTAATATTGTTAATATGTGGATTTAGGACTTAACTAAATATACTAAGTTGACGAACGAACATTATGAAATATTATTGGGATTACGGCCGAAACTGACGCTAACCCACATGATAAATCAATGTATTCTAAATATTATAAATTTTTGTTTTATGACATCGCATACTCATACTTATAGTGGTATGCTAAATAAGAAATATTATTTCCTGAATTAATATTTATTTGTCTGATACATGTGGTTAGCTCATTTTAAGCAAACGTTATTTTGTAACGAATGTGTGTGTGAAGTGGTGTATTAATTCTTGTTAGAAGTTATCTGATTTCTGTGTTTATTGGCATATTGTTGTTCAGAATCATGAAATGCTCAGTGTGATTCTTAAATTAGTTATTTCAGCCAGTGTTTTCTATGGAGAAATCACGGTTGTTTATCAGACGCAACTGTGTAGCACAAACGAGTTAAAGAAGCCAAGACCTTAAGAATTATAGATTAGAATATATGTCAATATGTTCAAAGAAAGGAAAAGTTTTGTTTCTATATAACTGGTATCTCGATTCAGTATTGCTATAGGTATTTTTCTTATTTTTATTATATTGAAGTGATCGATTTAGTTTATATATTTATCATAATTTCTATACGGTTAATAAATTTAATACCAGATGTCAGTTATTTTTATGTTTGTTGCCTGGATACCTATTTAAAGCAGTATTCCACAGATAAGCAAACTTGTATTGTTCAGCACATTGTTGCCCGATGACGGCTCCGATAAGAGGGCCGAAAGCTTGCAAATAAAAGTGTTTTAACGTAGAAAAAAATCCGTGTTAATACATGTTAATTTACCTACGTTATGAGCCTTAAAAACAACGACCCTGTTGTATTTAAATGATTTTGTTTCACTTAAATATTGCTATTTAATCTCACTTACGTTATGAGTTTTAAACAACAATAATGCAACTGATCAAACATTTCAATTCCTTAACTACTGTTGACTTTATTACGAACAAAATATAACTTAGCAACGAAAAGTTATCTCTGTAATGGCATACTTAGGCATTCCTGACATGTATGTACATCGATAAAATTAGCAGATAATTGAGGGAAATCACATTATCTTGGTTCAAACACAAGAGTCAAGTGGAAAGCTGGACCTAATGTTGTAACGGAACACAAAACTTTAGCGTGACGTCATCAAAGGACTTGGTACAGCTCATCCTGGGAAATAAACCCGTCACCTAAATAGATAAATAAACAAAATCAAGACTTAAGAAGCGTTTTTCTTGAATTATAAAGATAAGATGTATTCTATTCCCAAATAGGATTTCGGGTAGATTTTAATTAGATGTTGTAGTTTTGAAATGTGTTGGATAAAGCAATCGAAGATAAATATTAAGATAAAACGTTTCTCAGTTGTATTAAGAAAACATCGTAGCCTGGCTTCAAAAGCTGCCTTAACAAAAGTCACTCGAGATAAACTTTAAAAATGAATTAACTTACTATCAGAATTATATGTGATTACTTATCGAGTATATCACTTTTAACAACATTATGAAATATTTCTAAAAGTATGTATGGATGTCTTGTTACTTTATCTGATAAAACTTTCGTTAATGAGAAATAACTAAATAGTTAAAGAAAGTACTCTGTTGTGTAAAACTTAAAACATGTTTATTATCGGATATACAGAGTATAATATTTATGGTTACAACGTTGTTGTACCTGATGATGCTAGATTAACCTGGTGCAACGTTGTAACCATAAATATTATACTCTGTATATCTGACAATAAGCAGGTTTTAAGAATGAAAAGTGTTCTTATTATACTGTTGCGTCAGCGAGGTCACGTGACTAGTGTCACGCCACTTCGTTCTCGAACCTTCCTAGATTGGGGGGGGGGGTAGTCTGGTATATATAGGATGGTGACAGCGTGGCGGGAGATTGTGTAGGTAGTGAGTAATTGATCTGCAGTCAGGGAGTATTGTTGAAGTTAACGTTCGTTCGTTATAGGGTTTGTTTTAGCGCGAATGTTGAAATTAAGTGTATCGTAAAGTTATATTCGGAAAGAATAAACCAGTTTTATTAAGTAAGGACTTGTGTCGCTAAAGTTTCGTCGGAACGAAGTTACGGAAAATGAATTAACAAACGGAGATGTAACAATACATTGGATGTAAAGAAATACGTTCAAACGAAGCAAACTTCAATTATAAACTATGGATAACTGTTTATGATATCTATTCGTAGCTAGATGATCATGAACAGAAATTATTTCATCAGAACTGTAGACAATGCTTGAATTGCATATATTGTTGAGAATAACATTTCTTAGAGTTTTGTACAGATTTTATAAACACAACCATAATATTTAGTGTAATCATACTTATTATTTATTCTTAAAATACTACGCTTCTATGTTTTATGTTAGCGCCTTGAAATGTTTTTACTCATACAGTGATTTTTACATTCATATAGGAATTTCAAATATACGCGGGGTCGATGCTACTAATTTATTCATGTAAATTATATAGCTCAATCTATCGTTCGACTTACCACCTGTCACTGTGTTATACCGGTTTTGGAGAATTTTATCCGTCATCAGCAACCCTGAACATGAGCACGTCGAATTTAAGAATATATATATGAAGCCTAGTCTTATTATTTCGAGTTGCTTTTGTCCGGGCTTACTAATGGGAAGGGAGGATTCCCTAAGACCGATATAACTCAGTAATGCTGTTAAATAAAACGATACGACTTCACAACTATTTTAAATAAGTTTTTAGTAAGAATTATTTGTTCTTTTCTAATTTCTTGTGCAACAAAGTATGGAAGATTATGAAACTCACAAAGACTTATCTTTGCTTAGAAAGCACTACACTTGTAATATAGATGAATCATGAGTTTCAAGATTGAAATGTCTTAGAAAGCATGACGGTTCATCTCACAAGTCCATATTCTAAATGCAAAAAAAAACCAAAAAAAAAAACAAGGACTTGTTTCTACATTTTAGAGTAACATGGAGATGAAGAATTAGAAAACCAACAAACTAATCCCATGCTCTTTTTATTTCATGAATTAATTTAAGTAGATCTAGATATACGTGTTTTTATCTCGATGAACTGCCTTAAGTAAACCCCAAAAGCACGTGCTCATTTCTTGGTAATTTGACTTAAGTAGTCCTAGAGACACGTGTTTATTCTATAGTGAGCTTACTTAAGCTGTTCGATGGTGCTTCTTTTTTTTAATGAAATGTAGTTATCATGGTTATATTTTGACTATGTAGATAATGTCTTATAGTTCATGTGAGTTCTAAATTATAACAGATCAAATATGGGTAATATGTTATCTACTTATATCATATAACAGAAGGGAAGAAATAAAGAATCAGGAGGTAAGATATACCACTTCATACGTTGTTAATAGTTTACATTGTTCAGCGGATTCTTTTAGATTATTCTTTAAAAAAAATAAAAAGTATTGTCCACTTAATGTTGACGAAATCGACTTATTTATTCGACTATCAGTTCTACAAGTTAGTTTAACTAATGTTCACTGATAGGCCAAGCTCACAGTAGACGCTTATACTACAATTTTACTTACTTTCTAATTCTCTAGTATCTATATTTATTTGTCAAAATACAAATAATCAATAATCACGGCACTGAATTAACAATTTAGATCAAATAGTATTTTAATACCTCAGAATGAGTGTAACTTATCAATAATTAATAAGTCAATAATGATGTACTCACAAGTCAATAATGATGTACCCTAGCCTAGCTCGCGTCTTATACTCCTCAAATCGTTTCCGGCGTCAAATACCCCTATATCTAATCAACAAAACAAACGTCTAAATTTAAAAGTATAGCTTACAACAATACCTACCGTTTAAATTCACAATCTTTTCAGCCACAAGTTTAGCAAGGGTGGGGTTTCTGTTCAATTGATCAGCAAACCAATCCAGAGGAATAGACCTGTAATTTAATGTCAAGATTTTAAATAAAATAACACAAGCTATGAACGTCATACGTATGTACTTTCTATCACCTGTATACATGCCTTTTAGTAAGTTACAGTGTTTGTCTAACTTTCATGGAGTATGTAACATTCTGCGTTACAAAGTTTATTGCTATGTGCTTGTAACTGCAGGCTAAAGTAGTAATATTTGACAATATTCAACAACGTGAAGTAAATACTTATATTTTAGTTAGTTAGTTTGTTTGTATTAAGCACAAAGCTACACAATCGACTATCTGTGTTGTGCCTGTCACTGGTTTTATTTTCAGAAATGGAGGGGTGGAGGGGGGGGGTATTTGCTGTTTTTGTTACTGTTTTAGCGCAAAGCTACTCATTGGAGGGATAAACTGGCGGTTTAACAGTGAGATAAGGTTTACAGTTTTTACATTTAAATTTGAACGGTATTGCATTACTTCGTTGTGCTGTCTTTATTCAGAATATATTATTGAGAAAATGTAAAATAATTGGGTGCGATCCGTTAAAGGAAAAGGTAAATTTAATCCAAATGCTAGATTTTCAAATATATCAACTTAGATTTGCTTATACTAAAACTAAACTAAAACATCGGTTAAAAGACGTTAATTTGTAAAACAAAGTTATGTCAAATTGAAATCATTTTAAATGCTTCAGAAATTCCAAAAAATCTACTTCGGAAGGAAAAATTATAAATTAACCAATCACAATCTGATATTAGCTCAATACGTATGACACAGATATTGTTCTAGGGTACCTACGATAAAATTTCTATGTTACACTTATTTGCGAAGATTTGTGACAAAACATTTATAAGGACATTAAATACCCATCAAAGCCATTATCCTTGAAATCTTGAAATGTCCGTTTGCCAAATCCTCTTGCAGTTGATAGAGCAGCATTACGAAATCCTCTTTCTTGACGAGAGAGGGCGTCAGTAGGTAAAGCATCAGCAGTAATGATCAAAAGACAAGCAGCCACAACCACATAAAGCTTTAGAGCGAACATTGTACTTCCTTTGGCTTGTTTTGGCTGAAACCTGAAAAATAAACAAATATAATTATTATTTATTCAAAGTTACTTGAGAGTTAAATGTACTATGTAATCCACCGTAACTAATGTAAGTATAATATTTACATAAACACATCGATATTTATAATACATGAAATAATGAAAAGAGAGAATACAATGGAAATCTTTAATATAAAGGGGAAGCGTACTCAGTAACAGTATTTTTCTTTGATCATATGCAAAGGAATCTCATGACATTCATGTTGCCACTTCCATTCATGCTCTAATTTGACAAACGTGAATTTTGTAACATAGTTTCCATTTGCAAAAGGCTCCTTCATAAGGTTTTTCTTGTCCAAAGCACATCACTCTTCTCTGGTAGCTTTCCATATCCACCTAGTGTATAGTCTGATCGCATATAAATTCATAAGCGCTGCATATAGTGACTTAGTCGGTATGTCTTCATAAGGAAGGGCGGGAAATTAGCACTTGTTTCACGCTGCAGTTGCTTTAAGTATGCAACTGTTCAACGGATATGTCGTGGAAGTAACTTGTGTACACGTGATTTGTGTCGCTTTTCCAGACGGAAATTCTTCTTAATTATGTTGCTGGGGACACGTGAACGGCTTTTGCTACTGACCTGTGTGTTCGTGGATTCTAACCTAATCCACTCTTTTTTTTAGCACGACTGGTTTATAATTTGTTGTACGCCTCTTTCTAGACAGTACTGGTTCACCAAAATCCATAATTCTTTGTTTTCCAATGTCATTTAAGTGCATAGAACTTCTAAGTCTCAGATCTGTGCACATGCTTATGATCTGAGTATATGAATATTTTGTTTTAAAAAGGGATATTACATAAGTGCTCAATTTTCGATGGTATCACACTACCTTCAAAAGACAAAACGATGTTAAAATGTAGGCTTGAGAACTTTAATTGAATTCAGCTGCCTGTTTAGGCTTAGGACCTGACGAAGACCTCAGTATAGAACCAGAAATGTCGAGCACTTTTCATTCAACAGACAGCTGCAGTCCATTAATGTTCTCAAACTCTGCCTAAGACTCCACTGAAACAACATGTCAAGATGTAGTTCTGATACATATCGTTTCATCTATCGGCTGTGTTTATCAAGTGACTTGCTCATTTAAATATTCAAAATAGTTTTTATTTAACATGCTCAATCCTCTGTACATTTATCTAGTTCGTTTGTTTGTACGTATTTAACGTAAAATTAAACAATAGACAATGTGCGATGAAATGGAATCCCAAATTTTACTGTTGTATTTAATGTAAAATTAAACAATAGACAATGTGCGATGAAATGGAATCCTAAATTTTACTGTTGTAAATCAGTGAAGTTACGGCTGACCCACCAGGGATTTCGATAGTTCGTACAAACGTTCAGAAACATGGATACATAAAACACGCTTAAATCATGAGTATGAATATTGAAAGAAAATAGCAAGGCCAATTCACGATCTCTGTGTTCTAGATAAGTTCCAGTATTATTGAAAATAACAAAATAAAGAGAGAGGAAACAAGTATGTTTCTTAACATTTAGTTTTTGCTTCCTAGCTGAAATGTGTAATATATGCAAATGTACCAAAAGTTTAACCATGATATACATAATTATGTTTTTAACATTTAGTTTTTGCTTCCTAGCTGAAATGTGTAATATATGCAAATGTACCAAAAGTTTAACCATAATATACATAAGTGTGATAGCACTGGAAATAAACTTTTCTTGTTTATAAACCTAAATTATTCTCATGAAGTTTAGATAAAGTTTCACATTACTGAGTTCCGAGGAGTGTTCCCTCTAAGCTGCGCGGCCGCACAACAACCAATCACATGCCGCGCACTTAATTATTCCAGCCGCGAATATCCTCAGAATTGGTAAAGAGTTTCAACACGTTGATGGCCTTAATGACCCTGACAGTCGATAGGCCTAAAGCCCAAATAACCAACTGGTGGCATTGAAAAGTGGCCTAATGATTCAATAAGGTTAATAGTCTAAAAATACGCCCCCCCCCCCCAAAAAAAAAGAAAAACTGGTAGCGCACATTCACACATTGCCTTGGTACTGGTGCACATGAAAAAAAAAAATCATTTCGTACGTAGATTGAAAAAATTAGAGGGAACATTGGTTCTGAGGTAGAAAATTTTGCTAAAAAGAGGAGTTTAAATGCTAAATATACTTTCGACCAATGTTCACTGAAATTTATATTCGTTATGGTGATAATACTAGTATTTAAATATGTCTCCTGTTTTTTAAATTAGTAGACTAGTCTAATATGAAAGAAATAAAAATGTGATCTTTTAACTTGATATGTAACTAATGAATATTTGAGACTATTAATTAATAAAGGTCCAAAGTTCTGAAACAAATCATAAAATTAGTTGTAAACGCATCAAACTGGTAAATAGTAAACACTCAGTGAGGCTTTTTTACATCAATGGAGTAGAAATAGAACTTAAAAAGTAATCCTATTTACAAACTGGATGAATAAAGTTAAAGAAACGACCACTAAACGTATAAAATACTTTAAGAAATTCGCTTAGAACAACAATGAATATGTTATAAGTAAGAAAGAAGTTATTGAGTATTTAGAATATTTACATATTAGGTATTTCATCACTCCTGCCGATAAAGCAGCTAACAGTTTTGTTTTAATTTGTAAAAAAGTTTTATATTACCTCTCTATGAAAAGAATTAGAGTTAACTTTGAAAACATTAAAAACGTTTTGTAGCGAGATGTACAAATGCAGAAGCAACTTATAGATTTATTGGACTTTGCAATAACTTAAATTATTTTGTAAATACGTTAAAGAACATTTAAACAAATATTGTAATATTATTAAAGAGAAAACTGGTATTAAAACGTTCATTATCATCAGTAATTCTGTTGAATGTCAAAAGAAAATTAAACGTTTTTAGGCTAAAACAATAACAAATTTTGACTCACACTAGTCTTCCTATTGGTAGCCCGGCGTGGCTACCAGGTGGATTTTAGGTTGTTCCGTGGTTCGCGCCCCGTTACCACCAAAAAATAAATAATTCAGGTCTGAACTCTGAGGTAGCCCAGC